AGCTTCCTAGCTCTCGCTAAAGCGATATCAAAGGTAGGCGAGCTGCTATTGCACTCCCACTATTGTGTTTCTTTTGGTTGATGTGCCATGTCGATTAATGGTGCGTACTAGCCCACCAATAAGAGGATAACGAAAGTATCACGGCTTATCAGTGCTAAACGTCTAAGAGATGCGAACGGGATTTATGATTCCCGGCAAAACTTTCACATGCCCGTATGTGAGAAGCACTCGTGTTCAGGAAGTGAATTTGAAATCTTTAAATTATACGTAAACAGGTGACACCTCCTTAAAATTCCGGCTTTCCAGCTTTTCTGTCCCCAAATTGGCCGTTTCCTCGCCAAAGCTTACATGTGTTCATACGTGGGGCTCAGAGATGTGTGAAAGTTGACACCACGTTCCTGATGTAACGATTGGCCAAAGAACCCACTGGCAAGATTTCATCGTCAAAGGTTGCTAGTTGCCAAGTTGAAGCATCCGGAAAACACACACTCACACGCACTGGATCGTCATAATATAAGTTTTTGCGTTTCCATAAACATAACGCATAAAATGACATTTTTTCTAAACACATTACTGAACCCACTTTATAATGACTACACATTTTCGCAAAAATCATCAGATTATGAACTCAGGCAGCGACATATCCCACCTCCAGAAGTTACTGCAAGGCAAATAAATTCCTTGCTCGCAAGTAATTTGTGGGCAGAAGCTCCTTTCAGAACTGGAGAGCGGGAACCTTGCTGGGCAAAACAAGGAAAATCTCACGTGCAAAATTTTCATAGTGTTTATTAACCGATTTTCATGGTTCTACACGACGAACTAATTGTTTTCGCATTTATTTCATATGGATTTCCGGGTAATTAATTTGAAGCGCAGCTATAAATAAACCCTGTAAGCGATGACTTTCGGAGTTGCAGAATTTAAAATATCATGAATGCATAATTCGAAAATCAGCATGATAAAAAACTGAAGCAAAGTATGCGGTACAGCCTACTAGAATATCATGTTCAATCATTATCCTACAACGCAAAACACTATCTGAAAAACCGCGATTTTTCTGGAAATCTGCTTGCTTTTTTGACGTTAAACGCGTTCTAGGTGTTACAAAATATAATATTACGAATTATGAAGCTGCTGAATGGTGCGCTGTGGTAAGTAAAGCTGCTATCATACTGAGGCTTGAACGCTCGTCTTCTAAACTGAAACGCAGCCTTTCTGTGATTCATCCACCTTTTCTAGTAAACTTGCAAGCAACCCTCGGAAAACGAACCCTCAATAGCCTTGCCAGCGAGTGGCTGCTGGTGACAGACGCTACCACTTGAGCAGCATCCGTGTGCCTACGTCTTCCGTAAAGATGATTTATGGAAGGGTTTTTTCTTCTGTCTTATTTTCATACATTACAAAAGTCCTTTTCTAGAAAAAAATTTTTTTTACCAAATCAATCGATATGGAAGGGAATATGCGAAGGAGACCAATATTGCGACACAGATTCTCATGGACTTGGAATGGCTGAATAGTCGGTGAACGATAAATCGATTCGTACATAACTGAAAGCATCTGTTCTTCAGTGGTAGTCAGCCGACACAGCTAGCCAAAAACAAATGTTCAGCGTAATATCGACAGCACCTAAGTACCTTTATTTTTTCGATTGTATTTCAGGAAACAAGTAGCTCATTTCGCAAATAGAAAAGTTTCTCAAATTTATGCACTTGCAATTAAGATAAAGCCCTGTTTCTTAACATTCTAGGCTAAAGGTTTCTCATTCGCTCTCATAAGCTAAAAATAGACAAGCATAAAAGAAACAAACTTTTGATAGATATTTCCATATGAGCCAGTGGAAGCATATTGGGACTATCGAATGCTTCCAGACCGCTGTTGTCTAATTTCAAGGAACGGTTCCCTCGCAGCAGTTTATTGTTAAAGTAGACAGTTACTTCTGGAATATCAAAGCTGCCCGCGAATATTAGCGCTCCAATCAAATTATCACGTCCATCAGACCTTGTTTCACACACCGGTATCTACAGATCAAATCAACATCAATGGTTTGTAATTGCTAAAGATGGGTGTGTTGAATAAGTGCCAGTAGTATGTAAAACAATTATTGAAGATCAAGGCCATGCCTACATTTCTGTGGAAAGTGAAATATTTGCAAATAAAAGCGGTGCAAAAACATACGCTAGAAAAAAAGTTTAGCTTGCTCGTTTCCACTGTTAATTTGATTTCATGGAAACATTTATATGAGTTACTTACGTAAAAAGTTTCTAGCAATAAAAGCTCCGAATTTCGAAATTTTGTTGTTCTTTCTTTAGGTGTAATCCAAAAGTAGCTTTGGAATCAATTTTATACTTGTATAATGTTTTGTATTATGGGCAGAGGTTAAAATTTTCAGTTGTCTTACTGGTTACTTCCTCGTGTAGTAACTGATTTTACGACTCAACAGTGAAGTATTTTGTGAAGCCTAAGTCTGGTAAATCAGCCTTGCAGTAGGTTGAGCTGGCAGCTGTAAGCAGATAATAGAGCTAAACAAGTCTCAAAACATTTTATTAATTTACAAACACTTCGGCATGGCGATTTGCTTGTGAGACTCACGCCTAGGCAGTCCATAAAAATTTTACCTGCGCACCGGTGATAATAACCGGTTTTCCAAGATTTTCAAACATAAATGACAAAGCGCTAGCTGTATAAGCAAGCGTGTCGGTGCCATGCAGTACCACAAAGCCATCGTACCAATCATAGGCTTTCTGTATATCTGTTCCAATTCGGATCCAGTCATCAAACGTCATATCGGAGGAATCCAGCAATGGCTGATACTCCACTAACTAAATTTACTGTTCTCGTTTTTAAGAATATACAATTTACTGACTCAAACGACGATCCAGATAACTCATATGATGTGAAATGGCATCGGACTAACCAATGTGGCGATTTGACGAGAAACAAACTCCGACAGATCCAGGGAGGCGGAAAAGATAACGTGCCGCATTTTGTCCAACTATGCTCAAGTAACATGAAACAGCATAAGGCCTGACCAGCAGCTGGTAATGTAGCAAGGGTTCTGTAGTTATGCGTAAAACAAAAGCACAAAGTATGGATTGTATAGCATTACAGAATGATCAAGAATAAATAGGGACATGCACCACGGCAGCCAGTGGCGCGATCATACTTTTTGTACGGATCTTGCCGGCGAGCGGTTGCTGTTAAGAATATCCGGTATGCATAAAAAACACGAAATTCCATGTCCCCTGAATGAAACACAGACGCTCGTGAAATATAGATTTGAATTTGTTGATTCACACGTCAGCAGAGAACATCCCTCAATATTTTTGCTTTCTGCACTGTCTGTTTCCTGAACTAAAAACTCCCGCCTTAAAATTTCACTTGTCTATACTTGAGAAATAAGCGTGACTGAAGGCTGAATTTGCAGTTCCAGAGTTGTATATTCAGAGGAAGAACCATAGCAAATTTTCAGCTTTTTGCTTTGCCAGTTCCAGAGGCGGAAAAATTTGCGTCAGAACTCTCATGTGCCCTCTTACATGAGGCTTCGGTATAAGTGAGGCTAAGTTTAATTTGTTTAAGTGAGTTAAAATATTGCCTTAAATTTTCAGCTTTCTAACTTTTGTGTCGTCCAAGTCACTAGTTTTAGCACCAAAATTTTAATGTGGTCATACGGGAGTCCTAGGTAAACGCGGAACTGGTTTTAGGTTCACAAAATCACACGTAAACAGAGGACATCTCCCCCTTAATTTCACCTTTCTAATTCCTCTGGTTCCCAAGTTATTAATGTTGGTGCCAAAGCTTTAGCGTGACTGTACATGAGACTTAGGAATACGTGAAAGCTGAAGTTAAAATTGCAGGGTCACGCTTGAGCGGGGAAAGTTCCCTCGAAACTTCAGCTTTCTAGGTTTTGTGGTTCTCGAGTTGAAAATGGTAATTACAATGAAAACCCGGTTCGGGTGATGATCGCTGGTATTTGGGGAACTTCTAGCATCTTTGCCAACATTAACTGGCGGCATTGCTGGTCGGAACAGCTTGGCGCTTTGCCAGACGCGCTGGGTAGCGCTATCTAGTGCCTGACGGCTGGATCGCGTGGCCCGGGGGGTGATGGGTGAGAGATTTGGACGTGGTTGGGGGATTTGGATGTAGTCCTTTTTGTGAATTTTTGCATATATGCAAATACAAAAACGCGTATTGTGATGGTCCATAGTTTGCGTGTGTATGTTTGTGTAGATGCGTGTGTGCGTCCGTCCGGTTATTTCAACTCGACAGCCAAGCAAGTCCCAGCATTAGAATTTTGCCAGTAGGTTTCCTAACGAAATGACACCCCAGGACCGCGGCACCAACTTGCTCGCATGTCTGGGCACGTGAAAGTTTTGGCGGGAAAAGTAAAAACTCGGGAACCAGAAAAGTTAAGAGGCTGAAATTTTAAGGCAGTGTTCCTCGTCCACGTAGAATTTAAAGATTTTAAGTTCAGCCCCAGTTCATGTGGTTCTCACGTGCGAGGTCGTGATAATTTTGAACGGGGAAGTTACTAACTCGGGAACCAGACAAACTGAACGGCTGAAATTTTGAGAGATATTTCTCATTCATGTACAATTTCAAGATTTCAGATTCAGATCCCAGGTACTTGTGATTCTCACGTACGGACACTCAAAAGTCTTGGC